TAAGCACTTTGAGTGCATAAAGGCACCCCAAAACCTTAACCTCGTCTTATAAGACTTGAATTCTTTTTTACTTATCCTATTTTCATAATCATGAATGAGTAATAAATTAATCTTTACACTAATCGCATACCTTTGCCACTAAGCGCACCTTGCATAATTAGAGCACAAATAATACTTGCAATATAAAATAGTGCACATCATATGAAATTCACAATGTATAACCAAACAATTTAACCCAGTCATCCAAGATACATGATAATAAGTTCTCGATCTGTCCTTAAACATGCACCTAAAAGCAAGGTTTCGTAACTTGTACGTACCTTGAATAAACGAATTGATATGCCACTTTACTATCTAGAAATCACCTTCAATAAACTCCTCTCCTAAACCAAACAATAACATCTCAATCAATACCCAATCAATCAAATTTACAGCAATACTAACTTACTTTAAAACCTTCAAAATCCAAATCCAACAACACTTTAAAACCTTCCCTTTAGTTAAAATTAAAGGTTTATATATAGTTTTTTAAATTTTCTTCATAAAAACCTTAAAATACACTCTTATACATGAAATTACAGCAAGCTTAAAGTTTGATAAAAATCTTAAAATTATTTAAAAAGCCCTAATAATCTCCCTTTTTTAATGGGCGATTAAACCCTCTTTATAAAACATCAAAAGTAGTACTTAGAAACTATTTCCAGCACTTAAAACTTCAATAAAAAAAAACATATATTTATGATTAGTTAACTTTAAACATAATTAATTTTATTAATAAAACTCAAGGATAATATTTTAAGCATAAAAAACTTCGTTAAAATCAAAAACTGCCCGAAAACCATATTTAGAGGCTGAATTTGGCCACGAGAGGGTGGTGCTCACTACATAAAGTAGTGAGTCTTTTTTAAAACGTTGTTTCCACATGGAAAAAAAATACGTTTTTATCAAAATCGAATGAGTTCAGAACCTGATCGGGATTAAAACGGGATTAGTATTAATGAACGGAAATCTAAAATTTAAAACACGAATTTAAGTGTTTAAAATAATCTGAAATTAAGTTAAACTAATCCGTAGTTATAATCACCAAAAATTTAAAACATCATTAATATAAAAGCCCCAAGTCAATTGTTCATAAAAACCCTAAAATCATGATTTTCAATAATTAAAAACCCTAAGTTATAAAATCTACAAAATCTTAAAATTATGACATTTATAAAATCTGAAATTATAAATTTTAATCATCAAAATACAATTTGATACTAATTAAATTAATTTCAAACAATAAAATCAAAACCCATAAATCAATTATTATAATTACACAAATTAATAAAACAAAGGAGAAAGAAAATAAGACTAACCTTTTTGTGTGGGAAATTTTTGCGGAGTCATGGGGTATTTATAGGAGAGAATTGTAGGTTAAATAAAAAGATTGGGCCTCATAAAAATAATGGGTCAATTAAGTAAACAAATGGGTTAGGCTTGCTTGATTGGACATAAATTGTAGAATAATGGTGCATAAAATAATTTATTCAAATAATTTTCGACCCAGATTAATAATTTGAAACTTCTGAAATTAAATTCCGAAAAATAACAAATAAATAAAATAAAAATTTCATTTATAAAATATTTAAAAAATACGGGGGTTTACACTTTAATTGTTTAATTGATATTATGATATAGAGATCATGTTTAGGTTGTTATTTTTATTCCTAGTATCATGTTAGGATGTTTTTCTTAATTTGATGTTTAGGGTGACAACAATAAGTTCCTAGTATCATGTTTAGGGTAAAGAATATAATGTCAATTATGATTTCTAAGATGTCTTTTATTGTCTTTCCTAATAGTATCATGTTATGGCTATATATTTGATCTTTGATGTTTAGTGACATGATAGGGTTTGTTATTAATCTTGTTAGTATCATGCCTAGGATCTTGCTATTATTATTATACTTTAACATGATTATTTTTATGATTATTATTATGCATATTATGATTATTATTATGTTGCTTGATATATATTTATTGTTATTGCTTGATCACACCTTTTATGCATGTTTAAAGGAAATTTGTACTTGTAATCACGCTTAATAAGATAATTAATAATCTTGTTTAGGGTTATTTTGATTATAATTCAAGTGGTCACCAATAATAGATTTATTTGTACATTAATATTCAATCAACATAGATAAATAGGTTTAAGGTTAAACCTATTGATTGCATGTTAGTCAGAAAGCGCACATGAATACGATCAGAATAAAGTAGAGGCTTATTAATAGAGCTAGTTTGTAGGCATCGCTCGAAGTGCGCCTACGTTAAAGCATGTGTGAATATGCTTGGCACTCATAGGAAGTGGAAATTGACATATACGATTAGGGACAAGGAAAGTAGGGAGCCGCCAACAAGTTTTTAAGGAACTTGTAAACCGTTCACGGATCATAAAAGGCAACCACGATTAAGGGACAACGATAGGCAACAACGAGTGACCCGTGAAGGTTACACCCCATTCATAATCCATGAGATTACTAACTCCATATGGTTCGGAACCACGAAAGGAGGATCGGGGATGATGGTACGAAGTGAGTCATGGAGTCACATTCGCCCGTATTGGCCTCTACTCGATTCTTATATTGAAAAGCATTCCTATGATCTCAAAGGCATGCAAACAAAATATTCAATTTGCTCCAAACTATTATTAAGCTAAATTGGTTGAATATTAATGCAACACATAATTCTAAAATATTAGTGATCACTTGATTAAGCAACAAGATTAAAAAGGAACCTAAACCGGTTGTCCAAATTATCCTATTAGGCGTGATTTCCAATTACATATTCCCTTTAAACATGCAATATGGTGTTCAATAAATATAATAGAATAAACATTAATATTGGAAGAAATTTAACAATAATAATGTGAGTCAAATCAAATAATAATAAACCTAATCATGATACTAGCAATATAAAAATAAAATAAGAGTAATTAAATTAATTAATTACTCACATTCCGCGTGTTCCTTTAAATTGCTACATCATGAATAAACTGTTAGTAACTTCAATAAAAATATAAATCAAATGAAAATTAAATTAAATAAAAATTATATTTGATTTGGTCCAAACCCTCAGTTAATTATAACTTTCACGCCTTGGTTTAAGTATAGAACTACGGGTATTGTATGGACTTCTTGGAGTGTTTAGGGGAAGGAATAGTGAAAGAATAGGGTGGCTAGAATTTAGGCTAAATAGGGAGAAGAGAATTATTTTATGATCAAGCTTGTTGATGAATCAAAAAAGGGGAGATATGACCTCTATTTATAAGAGGAAAAGAGGGGTCGAATCAAGAAAAGATAAGAATTCGAATCGGATAAAACTCTTGCGATAGACAGCAGTTTTTGCGGTTTTTGTTTTTATCATATATTTTGAACCACAAATCGGAATAAGATGAATAAGATATGGTTAGAAAGATATTGAATTATAAATTTTAATCCAATTGGAATCAGATTAAAATATTTTGTAGAAAAAACGATATAGCCGAAATAGTGAGACGGTGTCAGTTTTGGATAGAGTTTGACATTTTATTCATATCTTTTCCGTTATAGCTCGGAATTGATATTATAATATATCATTGGAAAGATAATTTCAAGGGCTATCTAACCATATAAAATTTGGATAAAAACTATGAGGCACGAAAATAATATCTGTCTATCTTTGAACGTCTTTCAATTCGGATGTAAATAGGATTTTCAAAAAGAAAAGTTTTATTCAATTTCAAACTCTTTAATCTTATCTTTTCAAAAAGGATAATTAAGATCTTTTATAAACTTATAGAGGCTTCTAATTAATCCTAATTAGATTAGGAATTGGATTAAATAATTTGGACCCTCTACATGATCATTGGGTCGTAGGTAAGGTGGGCTTAGGTTCAGTTTGGGCTCATTTTAATATTTTGGCCATAACTTATTCATTATAACTCGGATTTGGGCTTGTAATATATCGTTGGAAGATATTTTAAAGCCCCATCCAAGTATTCAATCATTGGACCCTGATTATGGACCAAAATAAACTGGAATAAACGTTTTTATAAAAAGGACACGAAATGAATTATTTTGGGTTTAAAGGCACGAAAAGAGGAAAATAAGTTATGGTTTGGGGAAATGGGCTAGGAATTGGGTTGGTTTATGAAATGAAAATATGGATTTAAGCACTCCAAAAATTAAATACTCAACCTGACCAATAATGGCGGTGAAAGGTTGTTCATCATCGGGTTTGGTTTTGGGGAGACATTTTTAGGTGTCTACAAGGTTCAATCTCTTTTAGGTTGGATTTGTACCTTCATTCCCGAACTACCAGTCATGGTTCCAGACCTTTTGGAGTTAACGATCTCTTGGATCGTTAAGGGGTATAACCTTCACATCGTGAACGGTTTACAAGTTCCTAAAACTTGTTGGCGACTCTTTTGCTCTACCTTCTTTCCCTTTGGACGCCACCATGCTTAAGTGTATGATCACAGTGGGGTTCAAGTTTGGGGTAATGCTTGAAATATTCCCTACAGGTATTAGACTAAAACCGCTACTTAAGGAATACCGCTACTTAAACTAACGGTTTGTCTCTAAAGGAAAATATACCCCAAATGTATTCTCGAGCCTACGTGGACTGTATTTTTGTAATAAGTTTCATTCTAATGCAAAATCGTAAATAAGTTTTTAAAAAGCTATATTTTTGTAAATCATTCTATTTTTCGCCTATTCATGTGCTCATGCATAATTCATTCATATTATTCTTTCACAACTTCCGTCATCAATTTAATATATCAATATATAACCACTTCTTATTATACTACCTCCAATTCAAATTACTTGCAACTTTGGAATATTTTATATCTCACAAATAATACCTTCTAAGTTGCAAGTAATTTAGACTAGAGGTAGTACAAAGTATTTGTTAGAAGATGAGGGACTTTATTGCCAGCCAAAAAATAAATAAAAAACGTTGTACACAAAAGCTTCTTTTTTGGCAGTGGTTCATTGTGGGCTCGTCAAAAAATAAATCAATTTACATCTTGACGTTGTGTTGTAAAATCATTCTCAACAAAGATTATATTACAAGGACATACTCAAATATGCTTACAAAGAGAAGCAAAATGAAGAACTATATAGCAATGACCATTATTCTAATTGCAGACATCTTCGTGCCATCTTCAACATAACCCATGTTTGTTTAAACTAGCATCAGCAAAAGTGTAATAGGACACAAACTCCAGTAAAGTTACATTTCTAAACAAATGTTATACAATATATTCATACACAAGAAAAATTTGAAAGTAATATCATTATGCAACAGAATGGTGTACAAACATCATATAGACACAAACAGAAACCCAAAGCCAAGGCATCAAGCACGGTGAAGAATATGTTCTGAAACCAATAAACAGCCTAACTTTGATGATGTCCAGCTGTCTTATATCATCAAACCCGAAAGTTTCCACCCTAAAGGTAATCCATTATGAAAAATTGAACATCCTTACAAAAAAAACAAAATATGGCTCGCTCCATGTCTAGTCCATCTGCAAAACTTCAGTCAAACAAAAGCTAAACAACTATGCTGCATGATGGAAGATATCTGTAAATAATCCTCAGTGTCAAACCAACAATTAAAAGATATATCTGAATATGGTGCACCAGCTACCAGCTACAACTGTTAGGCTTTTACAACCATGTAACATATGTCAAAATTAACTAGGCTGACCCTATTGTTCCTTTGGTTTGCTTTATCGGGGTCATACTGATTAGCACTATAGGCAGACTTTGGGTTCTAATGAAACTTACATTCCCACATCTGTGGATTCATATCTTCACTAATTAGCATAATGTGCAGAAAAAAGTATTATCAACACTTCAACCGAACAGCATTCAGATGTAGGGATGAAACGACAGCATATTGAAGAACCACAAAACAGGATGACACCCATTTAATGATCCATCAAAGCAGCATCTGTTTCCGAAAGCGGTGCTGCATTAAATAACATGATCTCAAATTGTTAGAGGGCTTCTGGTACCAAGAGAGCATTTTTTGCACCATAGAGATAGAAAAGACAAATTTATATATGCTACAATGGAGATAATAATGGGAAAATTTGTCAATTACTACCTCAAATAAAGGTACCTAGTCAATTACTACCCTGAAAAAACAAAACTGATAACTACAACCTCAAAAGTCAAATATGTTGTTAATTGCTGCCCTTAAAAGTGATTAATTTGTACAAGTACTCTCTTCAACCATTTTCCGACAAATGAGCCTTTTTATGATGTCACTTATCATCTTAAATATATCATTTTAATCCCATTTTGTGACCTCTAAGTCACTTTATTAGTTGGAAAGCGTAATTTATGACTTCACTTATTAGCCGAACATGTATTTAATGGCACTTTAGTCCCAATTTAACTATTTATCAATCATTTTCCCCTTAGCTTTCATATAAATAGATTTAAAGCGATAAGTGACATCATAATTAGGCTAATTTGCCGAAAAATGGCTACAGGTAATAATCGTACAATTAATCACTTTAAAGGTGATAATTAGCAATTTTTATTTTTAAGAGTAGTAATTGACAAATTTCGTACAATCTACAATCAAGGAACCTTAAGAAACGAACTTATCATCACCTCCACCTTCACCACCCCACCCTTTCCCAAACTCCATCCCCCACTCATCCCACGGGGGGAAGGAAAGTAAAGGCCAAAACCCCTTATACTACCTCCGCTTCGGATTACTTGCAACAGTTTCCTTAAATGGGTGCTTCACATTATTTGCAACAACTTATTTTCTTTCCTTATTTAGTAAAGTTTTCCTACAAATTTACCAATTTACCCTTACTGTATTTTTTAAACACCTTATTACTACTCTTAATCTAATTTTGTTAAATTTAACTCCAATTTACTTTTTTTAACCACTCCCACCAAATTTACCCAATTTCTTTTAAATCCCCAATCCCCCAACTACCTTCATTCATTGCTTCAACATTCAATTCATCTTGAATATGGTTTAAGGCATTCAATTCTGGGTTTACTTTTCCCAGAATTCACACCCCTCAACCCTAATTGTTCATATACCCAATTCTCTCTCTCTCTCTCTCTCTCCCAGTGGTTTTGTTTCTCTCTCTTGTTCAACTGGTTTTTCTCCTTTCTCTCTCCTTCATCCTTGGTTTTTCCTCCTTTCTCTCTCCTTCATCCTTGGTTTTTCCCTCCCTGATACTTAATCTCACACTAAAAATGGCTTCTTCAGACGAAGAAAACCCATATCTTCAATGCTATGAGTCCCTTTCTGCTGCTACTAGGCTCTCTTCTCCTCGTCCTTCCTTTACGAGGTACATTCCTCGATGTGGTACGGGTGAGATGAAACCTCTTCGAAGAGCTTCAATCATAGCTCGAAGGAGGATCAGGGGGGCTAAACTCGTGGAGTACATCTCCAGTGACGAGGAGGAGAAAGTGGTGAAGCCTAAGCGATCTAAAAAAGTAAATCCCCCTTTTGTGGCTGCAGCTGCATATCTGGCTGAAACCCCTGCAACGGTGATAGATCTGGTCGAAACCCCTGTTGCGGTGGTCAATGTCAATCCTCCTTTGGCTGTTGTCCCTGTTGAACCTGTTGTTGTGGTTCCAGACACTGGAACTGAGTCTCAACCCATGGAGCTGACTGCGGAGGAGGTCCTACTTCTGGTGCGAAGCGCATCAGATCTGCCTAATGGTCTTGAGCCAGATGATGTGTACATGGCTTATCTTCAGATCTACTACCCCCAGTACTACATTCCCCCAAATTAATGGGGCAGCGTAAACTCTTAAACCCTTTTAATTTAATTTTTTGTAGCTTATTTATGATTTCCTTATGTTGGTGGGTGTTGATTGTTGGCTATGTTCCCTGTTTGAGTCCTGTTTTTGTTATTGATCTTATTCTGGATTTGATTTGTTGCCTTGGATTGAAGTTGTGGTGTTGTTGGTGTTCATACATGGCTATGTTCCCTTCATGGAGTCCTGTTTTTGAGTTTGATCTGTATAAGATGCATGTTTGGTTGCTTGAATACAAGTTAGTACTCTGTTTCTTGTGTATGTTGGTTTGGGACTTAGTTACTTGTTTGAAGTTGTAAATGCAGCCTTGTGAAGTGACTGATGCTTGTGACATATGAATCCCATTGGTGTGCCCCTATTAGATGCATTTAGTCCCCCCCCCCCTTTCATATGCATCAGTGTTATTATGTTTCAAATGATGAAGGGACTCAACTGATAGCTTATTGTTCAGTGTGGAGGCTCTAGTGACTTCTTTTGAGGTTGTTGTTGAGGTGCCCACTGTCAAGATTGCTTTGAATGAAAAAACACCCTGTCTGATGGAATTTGTTAGCATTTTCATTCAATCAAAAACATGTGAAGCTTACAAAAGTTAGGACACTAATCCTTTAAGCCCTAATACATGACTGCCTAGAAATGAGGACTAAGAATTTACCAAAATACACATAACCAATACTTAAACTAAAACAAAAAAAAAAAGTTTAGGCTTGCATGGTTATGTGTGGCAGTCTATGAGTCCCAAAAGCATATTCACTGTCCCTTGCTTACTTAGTCTGCATCTACCTCCATGTTGGCATCTTGTTGTTGGTTGCTTGTTGTTGGCACTTCAATTGTGTACAGATAATGCACCACTGTGTTCAAAAGCTCTATGTCCACTTATAGGAAGTCTGGTAGTTGCCCTAGACTGTCCAAATGTCTCTTTTTCATGTGTGGTGGAAGTCTGGTAGTTGCCCTAGACTGTCCAAATGTCTCTTTTTCATGTGTGGTGGAACAAAGTTGTTGTTGCCCTTCCTTTCTAGTATTTCAAGCATGACTGTAGGATAATCCATGTATACTTGTTCACTGTTGGATCAAATTCCTCCCAAGCTTATTTCACCCTTTCTAGTAATTCATTAAGGTTTTTGGGGAAAGACTGATACTGAATGGACTGTATGACCCTAAATAGACCTAAATCCAAGACATTTAAGTCTGGACTTTGTGTTGGTTGCTAGACAAACTCAATGTTGAACCCATATGCTTGACGTGCTTATGTGAATTCTGTATCCTTAGGGACTTGGTGTGGCCTAGCATTATCCCACTGTATTAGGATACCCTTTGGTAAATGGGGGGGCCATTTCTCATGTATAGCTAGAATTACATGGTTGAGTAGCATGTCCCTTATAGCATCCTTGTTCACAGACTGGACAGCCTTAGTTTCCAATGTTCCCTTGGCTCTGTTCTTGCTTGTCTTCTTTGCTATCTCATACTTGACAAAACGAAACAACCCAAACTTCCCATCATGCAAGAGATTCTTGTTTTCATCATAGAGTGGCTTCCTAACCATGCCCATGAACATAGCCTTCAATTTAAACCTCCTAGTTGAGCTCTATATGGGTTGTCTTCATTTGGTAGCAGATAAAATGTTCTTGTTTCTGGGTTCAAGTAGAACCACTTTTCATCAATGTGTATTGTGTGCTTCATATCTCTGCAAGTTGGATCCCCAACAGATAGAACAGGGTAAACATAGCTTAAAACCCACTTAAGTCTTGCAATTTTGTGATTATCTGTGAGTGTTGGGTGATTAGTTGATGTGTGTGTTCTAAATCTACCTTTTTTCTTTAATCTGTGTATCACTGAGGAAGACTCATGAAGGGCAGCACCATAGCTCCTTTCAATGGTCCTCCTCTTATACAGAGGGACAGACACTAACCACTCATCAGAATATTCTTTGGGTTTAGGCCCTGTTTTACCTAATTTTTTAGTTCTAACATCAATAGCAGTCCCCTCCCCTAAATGTTTTTTTAATTACCTAGAACTATCTAGTTGTTCATCTGTGAACATTGCGTTTTCTGGCCATTTTGGATAAAAATCCAAATGGTAATGAGTCCCCTTCTATGTTCACCAAAATTTCATCAACTAGTTGTCTCTAGTTCTCTGTTTGCCCTTCTGCCATCATCTGCTTCTTCATTTGGAGTCCCCTCCTGTTTGTGTATCATCAAGATCTGCATCATACCCACCATCTTGTTTGTTCACCATTCTGTTGCTCAGTTTCCATTTCTGATTCTTCATGGACTGAATCATGAAGTCCCATGTTGTTGTAGTCCCATTGTTGTTGTTCATCTTCATACAATTGATGCATGCCATAAAAATCAGATTTAAAGAATTCCAAGAGTCCCCTTTTTTTTTTTTTTTTGTTGCAGAGCTAGTGAAGGTGATGAAGTGGCGGCTGTGGGTTTTTTTAGCGGTCTTTAATGGAGCCTAATTCAGTAAATATGGATGCTGCTGGAACTAACTCATCACTTAGAATTAGGATTATTAACAACTAATCTTAGTGAAGTTGTAATTTACTAGGGCTGCCTGTATTTTGTGAAGTTAAATACTGTTGGTTTTTGTGAAAAACAGTTGGATATTATCAACCCCCCCCCCCCATATTATCCCATCTGAAATGAAGTGAAAAAAAGATGGGTTTATTTGGAGGGGTGACCTCTTTATAAAGAGGTCATTTTGTTTGATTTAAATGAAAAAATTTGAATTTGGGTGAATGTTTAAATTTTCGTGGAAAAATTAAGAGGGAAAAACAAAGTTCCCAAAACAAGTGGGAAACTTGTTGTAAAGTCTAGAAAAAAAAAGGGGGGGGGGGGGGGAAGACCCACTAAAAAGATTCCCCCCACATGCAACCAAAAAGTAAAGAAGGGACCACTTGCTTTCCCTCCATTTTATCTCTCCTAATACTATAACCACCCCTTAATTAACTACACTTCAATCTTTTGCCTCGGCCTCCGCAAACTTGTACTTTGTTGCAAGTAACTCGAAGCGGAGATGGTATATACGAAGTATTATGCAATGTTACCTAAATTGATGAACCCTTAAGGAGCTTGATAACATGATATAAAGGGTTCGGATCCAATGAAAAAGATGAGAAGGATAAATGTTCATATTTTTTCTTCATTAGATGTGCAAATTTGATTTTTGAGCTAACAAAAAATTTCAATATTCTGGAAAGAACAGAAAATGTGCACATAATGTACAAATTTTATGCACGTCAAATTTGTGTTGATTTTTTTGCACATTTGATTCAAAATATATGCACATTTAGTATAAAGATTATACACATAAAATACTTCTCATTTTTAAGGAGCTTCTCAATTGACCCTAAATCATAAATTACGTCTTTCAGTTGATAAATTATTTAATAGGTCACCAAAATAAATGACAAGGGTAGTAAATCTTACAAATTAATTACTTATTTAAAGGCAATATTTAACTTTTTTTATTTTTAGGGTAGTAACTGACAAGACGCTATTTTTAAGGTAGTAATTCACAAATTTTCCAATATAATAAGAGACTGTTGTAGAGGATAATTTAGGAGACCCGTAATTGATACAAAATGAAGGTTCATCAAGTGTCAAAAGTTCCAACAATTTTCTCAGCCAAAATGATGAGAGACTTTAGTAGCATGTAGACTTAAAAATTGAAGATTGCTCATATACACAAAAGGGTATGGCAGAAGACGTACAACTTCCTTTGAGATATGTATTGCACATACTAACTGAACAAAGTACGTACATGTATGAAAATATGAAACAAACCATTGATACCAGGAAATATATTTGAATAGGAGAAAATCATTAGGAAGAAAGATGAAACAAATCTTTCAGCAAACCAAAAATACATACCTAGTAAATCTTCATATGCATCTGCTAGCAATGATGTTTCCATAAGTAAAGGTGGAGAGAAGACTTGATCCGGCGCCTCATCAAGGTCATAAAAAGATGTTTGCGATTCAGAAGCTGCATAATTTGAACAGGAAGCAGACAGAAACCCATTTACTCGATCATACTCTGAAAGTGAATCAAACTCATTAAAAGCATCTGATACTTCATCAAACTTTTTGCCTCCACAATTGTCAACAATAGAATTCCCAAGTAACAAGGACTCGGCTTCAGAAAAAAAATCGGTTATTCCTAACTGAAGATCCCCTCTGTTCGACACCCACAGAAGGAATTCCAGCAGTTGAAAGAGGAACAAAGAAGTGCTCTGAACCATCTTCTGAGTGGCTATCACGTGATGATTCATAATCACATGATTTTGTAGCCAAAGCTGCTTCTCGGACTGACCGCTTAAACTTCTGGACATATAAAGACTCTGAATCTGCAGAAGTAAATTATTCAGATATAGGCCATATTAGATAGCAGAAATCAAAAACAGAAACAACAATATAAAATAAATAAATAAAATAAAATAAAATAAAAGACTTGCTGCAAACCTTGTGGCAGAATATCCATTGCATTATTCAAAAAAGCACTATCAATACTCTTCCTTTCAGATAAATTATCTCCATGGTTGACAGGAGAAGTAAAACTTTTTTGTAAATTTCCCCCTCTCGCTGTTGAGTTTGGCGTAAGATTGAACAATGGAGGAAGCTTTAAAGTAGGGCTTGCAACTGCCTTCTCAAATTGAACATTGGACATTTTTGACGTAACTTCAGCAGTATCATCACTTTTACCAATCTTAATAAAGAAAAAGTACAAAGAATCAAACATTAAAACATCTAAGCTTAAATCAGCTTCTTTAACATATACTGGGAAACCAAAACAAAATTACCATTACCTTCCCACTGCTTTGAGCTTGCATAGGCAAACTAGACTGGCCAGGACATTTATTCATTAAAGGAAGGCTGGAAGAAACAGTGTTAACTTCTTCTGTGAGTTCTTCTATCGAATTTTGAATAGCAGGCGCAACTTCCTTAAGTTGATTTATTAAAACCTGACAATCATGGTACCTTAATTTAAATATATTACTTTTAATATTAACCAGATGTCCAACAAAATGAACAGAACAACTAGGTCAACTGTTTTTGCGACGATGAATCCAAGTCACAACCCTATAAGAGATAAATGAATCTTTATCTGAAAAACAATAATACACTTTCTTCTAAATGCAAACTAAGAAAATGGGATGGCATAATATTAGCTAAGAAAATGGGATGCATGCTTATTATACAAACAGGGGGCTATATAACTAAAGCAGGATTGACAAGAATAGTGTATTACTCGTAACATTAAGTCATTAACTAATACCAAATCTCAAGTCATCTTTATCTTTATTGCCTTCTCTCAAAGACTAGGTACCACCCTATTCGGATGGAGGCTAAAAACAACCATGTCAAATTGGTAAACTGAAGAGACCCCTTCATTCTTGCAAATATGACTTTGCCAAAATTGGGTATACACTTTAATTGAAATGTTCTCGCAGAGAAAAGATCTCTAGTCACGGTTGGTCATTGAAATGTTCTCACATAGAAATGATCTCGCCGCAGTGGTCAAAATTATAATTATCATTACTGTTCTATAGTATTTGAGTATTTATAAGTCAATGCTTTATAAAACGGAAAAATAGAAACATTTCTAGTTAAATATTCACAACTAGAAATTAGGCAGAGATAAACCTTCTTGATACAATACTTGACTTGAGCATGGAGATCAAGGGAACTTCTGTAGTAAGAAAATATATACAAACTCTTTGGATGCAAAAATAAAAATATATATCACAGTCGGTTAATTGGTATATTTTAATGCTTATCCACTAAGTGGGTCTGTTTTCTAATATTATGGGCCGGCTAAAACTAAAAAAAGAGATTTCGTAAGAGTGCTTGAATCCATTTGACAAGAGATGGGTTGCAGCTTATTGTTTAGAACGGTATTTCGAAATTCTCAATGAGTTTCATGAAAAGGAAGCCATGGAAAAGGTTTATACGCCACATCGCCACTTTTTCAATCCCAATCACAAGCACATTTACAAGTCTTTGTCCAACAGAGGAAAAGTCAATAAGCTAAATGGTGGGTGAATCTAAGGAGGCATACTTAGCACTTTATTAACAAAAATTGAATGCATCTTTCCAAATTTGAAACTAATTAACCAAGCTTGTATCTCTATTCAAGTTGCGTTTCAAAGAATTTTAATGGTAACTTATAAGCTCCAATGGTCTGACTCAAAATCACGTCAATATTTAGAGACAAAATGTCCACTGGTGACTCCATAATTCCATTTTGGATACTCCTTTCACCATCATACCCATAGTACTCCACAATATTTACACATTTTCACACTCTCTTACATTATCTGACACCACCCACCTTCTTTCTTTCTCTCTCATATACGCATACACACACTCAGAGTTTATCTTACACCCACAACCTTTTTACTTTTTCTTACACCCCGTCATCTTTTTCAAAGTTTTCATAAACTAGGTATCTGGAATAAGCAAGTCAAACAAATAAAAAGTATAGGTAGTACACTGTACATAAACAATTTCCATTTTGTAGAAAGAGAGCTATTTTAAAAAGTTCTGAAATTTATTAAGTGTTCTTACTAATCCTAACACATCCAATGGAGGGCTTCTTTCGACATAAATCTTGGTTCCCTATTTGAGTCCTCCATTGGAGAAGCTCAATGTTTTTACTTTTTCTTGTCCTTCGTTTCTTTTTAGTTGACACTTATTTTGACTTTGGACACTATTTACACAGGTAACTTTGACCTTTTTTTTTTTTATTTATTTTTTAAAAATAAAGTCATTGCCTGGTCTTGTTAAATTTGTCTAAATGTATAAATATAAGCCTTTAATTTTTACTTTTTGACGATTGAAGATATTTATGTTTGAAATCATACAATAGCAAACTTGCCTAAAGAAATGTGTCAATTAAAATGAACCAATTAATACATATAAAACTAAAAAAAAGTATTTATATTGAGAAAGAAAACAGTGTTGATGTGATGGATAGAGTAACGTTAATATGAATGGAAAATGAGGAAATAAATATTACCTCCGTTTTTTTAGTTGACACGTATTCTTTTTTGGGAAGTTTTTTTAAGTTGACACGTTTCTATTTTGGACATATTTTCTATTATGAATGGTCAATTGTACCCTTACCTCTCTCCTGCTCATATCTGATTATTAGACCAATCTCTCTCCTCTCTCTATCACCTCCTCCTGACCCAATGAACACACCAACCACATGGCCACATACTAGTATCATACCTCATCACCATCCCCACCACCACCACTCGTCAGTCGTCACCTCTTTCTCTCTTCTTCCTCCGCCTTCAATAAATCAAAAAACCCTCAAATCATCGAACCCACTAGATTAAGATCTCTATTTCATCAATCATGTCGTTGGCGGGACTAGTAATTTCATCCCCACATAACAAACTAACAAGGTGAAGATTTGGGATTCTTTGATTCAACTTTTTATATTGAATTACTTGAACTTTGATTGCAGCATCATATTTGTCATCCTTCGTCATCGTCGTCTACTTCTTCTAGCACGGGGTATTTGAGAATTGAGATCTAAAGCCCCTAAAGGTAATAGCAGTTATTGGGCTGTGAATGCTTTTGAATTTTTAGATACTTATTAAGGTTGAGTAATTTTGTGGGTTTTACGTGATGAAGGTAGTGACGAAGGTGAGGCGGTGCCGGAGAAGTACGTCTGGCCGATCTGGGTGGTGGCGATGGTGGTGGTGGAGTAGAATTAGTAGATAACTAGATATAGGTGTGGAGTTGGGGTGGGCTGGTGGTGGCTCATATGCCTTTCACATGTCTATCTCACTTCTCCTAAATATGTGTGCCTAAATCAAACGTGTCAACTAAATGGAAACAGAGGAAGTAGATTAGAGGGGAAAGAAAAAGTGGGAACTTTAATTTGGACCGAGTCACCAAATTACTAACAGGCCCATGAATACTACACCTGTATACTGGCCAAGTGTTGTCGATGTTCAACCAGGGTTGTTGCCAAACATTCAGCATGACCAGTTCCACCAACTTGTGTGCTTCGAAGAATTTCTGGACCCTCTCCATCATTAGCTTTTGCCTGCAGCATACAATATAGTTAGAAAATACCCAATAATAGTCGTACCAAATGTTCAAAGACAAATTTTACCAAGATTGACATTTTTTATCGTAAATTTAATGTAAGACAACATTAAATTAAAAAGTATACCAACTGAAGTGATTGCTTATGGATTCGTTGTAAAGCATGTGTCCAGCGCCTAAGAATCTCCGCAACATCAACAGTGGGATTCCCTCTTCCACTTCTGTCGTCCACTCGGCCTTCTTCATTTGTTTGTGAATGGGAAGAATCCACACTTGTTCTTGGCATGTCTCTGTTCAAATTGGCAGATGACCCATCAACCAGCTCTTTCTTATCTGGATGAGCTGTAGCTTGGTCACCAAGCTTCCCTAACAAGACCTGTGAGCTTTGATCCACACCAGCAAGTAAAGCTGAACCAGAGATGCGATACCTAAATAACTCATAAATCAGTGCAATTCTTCAGACACTAGAGCACCTAATCAATAATGATTGCAAAGAACCAAATATACCTGTGCTCTCGATGGGCTATTAGATCTTCTATAGGCCCTGAAGCAAGTACTTCATGCTGACCTGACGACAGTAACAATGTTATAACATCAAGTGTGTTGTTTATTTTATTTTTTTGGGTGAAAATTCAAAATCAATTGTTCTTGACACAGCAGATCAATTTTTTTTTTTAAATGCAGCATATAAGGTGATTATGATATAGCAGAACATTACCTCCATCGAAGTTAAGTAAACCTCATAGAACTTGCTAAAGCCAATAAGAGTCATACATATTTGAGAGTTGAAAAGAAAATATTTGAAATTAGACAGACAACATGAAAAGATGCAGCACTAGCGTAAGGTAACATAGCACAATATTGATTAAAGCGAAAAGATATTAGCCATCAAGATGATTTCTGTTCTAATATTGCTATGCGGATAAAATCATAGATTTAAATACAGAGAACTGAAAGCATTAACTGACATAGAAGAAGGAAATATGAAGTGGCCTCGCAGGTATGCAGGCGTTTGGGGGTGGGGGGTATTATGTCCCAAGGAAAGCACATTAATAGCATATGACAAATTGAATTCCCCATGAGCTATGCAACATGAAATGCTGCAAATTAGGTAATCATGCTACCGATTAATGCTTCTAGTGAGCAATATATTATATCAATATAAATCAGAGTTGTGTTTTTAATTGAAATTTATGTACACCTGTTAAGAACCACAATTTTTTTTAAAAATAGTCCACTTCCATACAAGGAGAAGACTAATGGAGTACTTTTTAAACTAGCCACTTTGAAGGTATGGCATGAGCTTAATGCTTAGAAGAGAGCAATTATATCAAAACTGAATTTTAAATTAGTAACAAGTGCATGTTAGTAATTCTTACTTATAAATATTAGCATACAAACATCATTTAGATATTGTTGTAGAAAGAGTAAGGTGTGTTCTGTCAAATAAGTTACAGGGTTAATCACGTCTAATCAGGGCTAATCGGGTCCTATCAGGTGTACATATAACATGAAAATAAGGTCTAATTAAGTCCAATAAGATAAATTCAGGTCAACAGAACAAGCCCCTAATCAATATCACACAAAAGATTCAGAGGGCTAATTCTACTGACTACTTCCTCCGTTCCTTAAATATTTGCAACATGGGGATGGGACACAAATTTTAAGAAGAGGAGAGAGGAATAAACCATGTGCTGAGGAGAGAGAAAGAGTGAAAACGTGTGCAAATAGGCAATTTTTGCAATATTTGTGAAACTTCCTAAAATGGTAATTATTGCAATATTTATGGCACGGAGGAAGTATTTTATATACAGAATATAATATGATCTTAGACAGGACATCATGTTATAAAATGTTTTCCTTCTGCAAAGCTAAATCAACAATTTAACAAGAATTCAATATTTGCCTAAAAATACAGAAGTCTTATTTCCAAGGGAACACAAGATAGGGAATATTTGACGATAAGCCATGTAAATCTCAATTCAAGCATAGCAAAAGACATATAAAGAAGCACATACAGAAATTAGATGAAAATATATTCACAGTAGCTCCACTTACTCTTACGAGATAATAAGGACTCCCATAATCGAGTAGCCTTAGAAACCAAATGAGAACTTTGACTTGAACCAGAAGCACGTTCATCCCATATTTCAGCCTCCATCTTGGCTTTGTTTCTCAAATCCTGAAGCTTTTCAAGCTCTTGTTGCAGATAGGCCTAAACCAGCAAATTGAAAGAAAATGAGTTTTTGTAATTTTAAGATGGCCTCCAAGTGTTTCATATAATAGAAATTCGTACCTCTTCTGCGCAGAGACCCCGATACTCTGCAGTCATCTCATGAGCCAAACCTGACCACATCACCTGCCTCTGGACAGCAGTTTCTGCATTTTTCAGGAATCGCTGTCGTTCAAGAGCTATCCTGGCCTAATGAAATGAGGGGTGTCATATCCACCACTCAGGTAAATTACATATTCGCTTACACCAACGAATATCCTAGGCACTAGAGTTAAGCATGACAGAAAAGCATATATATTACAAAGATACCTTGGTCACAGGAAGTAGTGCAGCAGCATGAGAAAATGCCACATCAGTTAGGGAACTGGGCAATGCATTAGAAGCAACGTCAGCTGGAAAAGTTCGTCGATGAACCTCACGTAAAGCATGCAAAGAAAGTTGCCATAATAATTCAACGAATCTGAAATCATACACAAAGCCAAAAAATAATGATAAATAAATAAATTCAGTTATCTAATAACTGAAGGGCATAACTGAGAACAGACCAAGAAGAGCCTCCACCACCCAGACATAAGGAAAAAAAAAAAGGCACTAGGAAAATAGCACAAAACAATAGTGCCCTTTTCTGCATCATAAAAATACAAAGCCGTGCAATACTAGGAGGCAATGAGGGTTTCAAGTTTAAGTCCAAAACTTCTTAAACCAAATATATCAAATTTGTAAGGAACTGCACACAATTGAAATAATAGATCCTTAAGAAGTGTAAATTGAGATAAGAGCAAAGACTTTTTAGCAAACAATTCTCTAAGCATGCACAGAAAGTTGCCATGGCAGTTTGCTAAAGCAGCAGTTACTGAAAAAAAAATCCATACTCCACCAATTGAAGAGCTAAGACAAACCAAATAAGTTTCCAACCCAATCAGAAAAAAGCAAGTTATAAGGTGCAAACCCACTAGATACTATGGAATTGATAATTATATACAGGAAAATTCTAACAAACAAGGAGCATAGCTATGATTTGTAGATCTTTATACTCTAAAATTTACGTTTCCATTTGAGAGGATAAAAAAAAATAAAAAATAAAAAAAAAAAAGGTCTGACGGAGCAAGTACAAAAGGGTGTACGCCTATTTACAAGAGGGGGACATGTAATAGTAAATGGGCTAAATTAATTGAAGTTTGCTAATTTCTGATACCCTTTTGTTATTATCACATGTACCCCTCAATAATAACTCAAAGCAAGATTTAAAGTTGATTAAAAAGAGATTAGTTAGGAAGGTTTTTCCGCCAGGGTGACCCAAAATTATAGTCCAACATTAAAAATAACAAAGCCTCTACACATCTTTGTTACAAATTATACCACTTCTCCATCGTTAGATCAATTAAGGAACATACCACTTCTCCATTGCTAGATCTATGCACCACGCATCTAAGGACTCCTACATCAAAATCTCTAACGATTGGGAAAATTGATTTAGCAAAAGATGTAGACATGAGAGGATATTAAAATGTCAAGGTTGTGAAATCCTCGAAAGTGTTAGGGTATTTGCTAGGTGTTCGGCCCTCTGTTACGAACGAATGAACGCTTGTATATATAGATGCAAAATTAGAGTTTACAAGTCATCAAGCTCCGCCACTTACGAGGATGTTGCGCGTAGACCTTGAGGTCACACGCAACACCTACATGCAAGGATGAAACTCGTGCTCAAAGCATCTATCGTTTTATATATTTATTTATTTTTATCCGAGATTTTTTTTTTTTGTTGTTGATGATGCTCAAGGTAGAGAGGAATACTAAAAGAGCTGGAAGCTGATGGTGTTGATACTTCTTTCTTAGTTGTAAGCTTATTATTTTGCTACTTTTCAATTTCTTAAATCGAGTGTTCTGGCAGTAACATAGCTGCATATAAAAAAAAGAGTCCCATATCAATAAGGGCAGTTGGATTTCATAGCTTAATAAGAAGGGTCAATGGGTACATGATTTACATATTTCGTTGGCTATACAGATTGAAGCTGATATAAATTTTATTTTTCTGTTATTAATTGTTACTGACTTTTTCTAAATCACAATTTTGCTTGCTTACACTCCACCAGTGGGTTAGTGGGTTTTCCGCTGGAGGAGGGTTACGGTAGGCAGTGATAGCCAAATGTAAAACTTTGTCGCATCGTTTAACATGAGCCACAATGATTGAGAGTAGTACTATGATGGGTGACCTCCTAGGAAGTCAAGTTCTCATGTTAGTTCATGTAGTTGACCCCGCTTATGAGATTAAGGCGTTCAAGAAGATCTTTTTTTAATTTATTGGATATTCTAAGATATATGCGCGTGATCTAACATTCACAGTTGCGCTTGACATTTATGTGCAACCTTGATTCCGCAAGCAAGCGTAAAGCAAGGTGATGTATTTAAACAAGCTTTTATACATTATTAACGGCTGCCTAATATGTGGTAATGTATTCTAAGCCTAATTAATAAACAGAGTTGGTTCATTTAGGGATAAATAATCTATTTAGGCTTAATCTCTACCTTCACATTCCATAGTTCATAGAAATATAGCGTCGATCCAGGAAGAAGTCAATTCATGTCTCATCATCGCAATATTTGTTAGGTTAGCGGCCAAAAACAAAAGTCTACGTTTCATAATAGACTTAACACTATCTCAATTCTTATCGATTGCCAATGCCACCCCTTAATGAAATAGCTAAAGTTCTCCCATGAAGACTATTTGTACTCTGATTTTCATAAAAGCTTGGGATCCTATCCTCTTCATTGTTTCAGAATAATCAACATGATTGAAACACCATTAGGTTGTGTTTGGGAAGATAGATTTCATTTCAAATGCATCATTTGAATTATTGAATTTGAGTATTTCAAAAGACATGGTTTACCTTGTCATTTGAAATCCTTACCTTCATGGGTTATTACTTGGTAGTTGTATAATTTGGGCAAATTCCTCATTTGAAATTCTTTGACATCCAAACACTATAACTGTCCCAATTCCGAAATTTCAAATGAAATTCTAGAATCCAAACACACCATTAAGGAATTTCCACGTTGTGATACCCAAGACAGTGAGAGAAATGCTACAAATGAACTTATCTCAAAACTTGACAAGAAGGTTAGAGCTATAAGAAGAGGTGTACAGAATTTGATAGATTGCTAATTGAAGTTACTACACCCCTAAAGAGACACCTACTAGCATACACATCCTAAAGCAATATAAACAAAATTAATTGCATCTGAACTATGTTTTTTCAAGTAAAATTTTTAAACATCACAAATTTACCTTGACAAGAAATCTATTCAAGTAAAGGCATTGTCGTCAAAGGATATTTTTACATTCCATAGCTCAAATTTTTATAAAAATTGAGATATAATAAAATGATGTCATCAAAGTAGAAAAATAATCACCAAGTAATGCGAAGAATCTTCATCTAACCACTCGGAGGAAAACCATAACAAACCAAGGCTGTGCAAGTGTACAATCTCAATGCTTTAACAAAAAGTATTTGAAGCAACTTGATGCAAGATTATAAATGTAGCATTTTGGTTAGTTCTAATATACAATAGAGCTCTATCTTATTAATGTGAGTCTGATGTTCGATTCATACATTGTCAACTAGACAATATTGTGATTTAATCTTGATTATTTCCATATAAATAGTCAAAAATTATATAGATTACATAATATCACCAATCTAAATAAGGGATGGCAAAAGGTCTTCGTGGAAAAATAAACAAGCTTAACAAATCAGGTTTTAATCATTGTTACTTAACAAAGTATATAATTGTGCACATCCTATATTAAACTCCTGGATACACCAATGCCACTCGAGCAACCATTTACTATGTTAAGTTGCACGATAAAGTGTTCATTTGGAGGTGTAAGAATCATATTCTAAGTTCAAACCACATAAAACACAATATCTATATTATAATTGTAGAGACACTTTTCACCAAAATCCTCCAAAACCCAAATGCTCAACTCTCATGCATTTAAGGTTTTTTTTATAAAAAAAATAAAAAATAAAAATAACTACCTATCCAACAACTTTATTTTTATTTATTTTTTGTCTTTTTTTTTAAAAAAAAAAACAATAACTACCCATCCAATATTTCCTTTTTGTTTTTTTTCAAGAAACTACTACTAACATTTAACTTTATGTTTTTTTCTTGGTACGTAGTATAATATATGACATGCATTAGCACGAGTATACAGTTTCTTTATCAACAATTCACTATAACACTCAAAATCCCCAACATTTCACTTTTTTTAAAACAATATGTACTAACATTTCACTTTGTTTTACGAGTATTTTTTGGTACATAGTATAATATATGTCATGCATTAGCACGAATATACAGTTCCTTTATCAACAATTCACTGTAGTACTCTAAATCCCCAACCCTTCAATTATATGCATTTTTTTAGGCACTACCCTCTCTAAACAATTTCCACTTCTCTTATCATCAAAAAAAAAGTACAACACGTAATTGCGCAACTGGCCTCGCCGAATAACTTTTTGCAACAAATTAAAGTATATAACTCTTAGAGCAAGACATGCACTAACCAATATGACACTACCCGAGTAACCCCTATAACACTAAACGGGTAACCTCTAAAAATTTGACAATGTAAACCCCGTAATATCTAGCTACATTGCGTTGTCACCGACATAAAAGAGTAAGACCCTGTTTTTTTAGCTTCTAAGCAAAGCAGGGAATATCATATGCAGAGCAGATGTCAGCACGACAGAACAAGTGTCAGCACATTGTTAATACGATTATTAATACTCACTAGAGCAAAGCTAAACAGGGTTCAACAGAGTCGACCAGTCCAAAACCGACCATTACAGCTCAAGTATAAGTTATAACATCAAGATCAACTTTCCATATTTTAAATATATTTTTTCTAATATATCTCGTGCATTTTGCACGGGTACACTCTAGTATCCTTACAAGCACAGCTTATCCTTGGTACTTTTGAGCACTCCAATAAGTAAGAGCAAACCAATACTCCCAATGCACAACCAGCTCCTCCCCTATTATAGCGTATAACCTCACATTGTACGAAGTAAGCAAGAACGACACAATGGCAGCTTGACTCAATAAACAACTTCTAGTGAGAGCTAGCATTTGCTTTATTACATTAAAACTTACATATTGTTAGAATCTGGACAAAAGCCTTTCAAATGAAATTGGTGACTAGAAGAACATAGAAAATGAGTAGGCAAGAAAGAAGAACATAAACTATCATCTTATTAAAAAGGATTGAACCCATTGCCTTTGACTCAAATTCAACATTTTACTATCTAGAGTCTCTTACTTTTGTGCTATGTAGAGATTTTAGAACAAATAAATCAAAAAACTGAAAGTGACAGGATAATTCAACCTATACTTTAAATTTTCGGTTCATTTTTTTGAAAAACCACAAATTAAACACTGATGTATGTACCATTAATCCGAAATTGTGATTCGTACTGTAATGATCATTTTCTCCCAAAAACACATTTACAAGAGCAAAATTCAAAATTCAAAAAAAAAAAGAAAAAAAAAAGAAAAGTACGAGTATGAAAAAGAATTGGCCACCAACCTGGGTCCACAACATGTTGCAAGAGACGAAACCCTTGAATTACTCCTGGGAAGAGCACCTTGAGATTCAAGTTCACTAATAATCCCTTGAACAACCTGTGAAACAATTCCGATCGTTCACAATTCCAAATCAAAACAAATAAATAAATAAATAAATAAATAACTAGAATCAATCACCTTACGAAAATCGCGAGACTGAGCAGAATCGAAAATCGGCCAAACCTTGTCAAAATCCTAACAAAACAAAACAAAATTAGGCAAAATAAAGAAGAAATAATAAAGTTTAAAAAAAAAAAAAAAAGAGGAATATTGATTTAGAACCTTGGCAGATTGAGCAGGACCTCGGAGAGAAGAAAGGATGAAGTAGAGAAGTTGTTCGCCAAGTTTAGGATTGGAATGCCGGAAAAGACCAACACGAGGAGTAGTGTTGGAAGGAGCAAGACCGATGATGGATGGATCGAGGCCTAAGAGCAAACAATTAGTGTACATTGCGCTTTCTAGCTCTATTTCTCTCTCTTTCTCTCTGTCCATCGTCATTTACCCCTCTCCTCTCTCCTCTCTGTTAGTGTTGATTTTGAATTTTTGGAATTTGTTTTGGGTTTTTCAAAAATTTAAGGAGCTTGGGACACGATCACATTTAAATAATAACCATGTGTCCTTCTCACACCATGGTACCATCTAAATTCCGCATCATATAATTTCACTAATATATAAATTGGCCAATTAGCCAAATGGTATAAAAGTTAGCACCCTTATAACATATTGGTATAAAAGTTAGCACCCTTATAACATATTGGTATAAAATTTAGCAATTTGTGACAAATTGGTATAAAAGTTAGCCACCAGCGACATATTAGCATAAAGTTTAACAAATTGCGACAAACTGGTATAAAAATTAACAAGCTGTGACATTTCACCCTTCTTTTCTTGCCGAATGAGTTTTTTTTTAAATAAAAAAATAAATAAATTTGTTGTTAATTCTCATTTTATGATAAATAATTCTCTCCTTCATGCTCATTCACTTAAGATAATCGATAAATAATAACAAAAAAATCGTGAGTTCAAAAAAAAATCTCAAAAAATGAATGGAAAGAGACATTTTTATAATTTAGTGTCTCAAAAGTGAAAATTGTCATGTAATAAGTTGTGATATTAATGAAGTTGGGAGAAAATATATTTATATAAAATTGAATTTTTGAAACAAAAAAGCTCGATATAATCTTAAAGTATTTAATCAAAGAGTTTGATCTTGTAAATTTTCTTGATTAATTCTTCTGCATAATCCTGAATATTTCTCTATATATTCCTTTTTTTTCTCTTTTTTTTTATTCTTTAACTATTTTGGGGGCTTTTAATAGTTTCCAAAAATAAATATGTAAAGCAAAAAAAAGGTAAAGGAAAACAATAGATTTAAGCTACAACAAATAAGAATTATCTTTTGTACAATATGCGCTTATTATTCTAAGAAGAAAGAGGGTTGTCATCACTAATAAACTTTTATACCAATATGTCATCACATGGTAACTTTTATACCAATACGTCATCGGTGATTAACTTTTATGCCAATCTGTCTCAACTTGCTAACTTTTATACCAATTTGTCGCCGGCGATAACTTTTATACTAATATGTCACAAGGGTACTAAGTTTTATACCAATTTGGCTAATTGGCCTATATAAATTCGGTCTCACCGTTAGGTCACGAGACATTAACACTTGACATTTTAGTTTTTCAGTGTCGAGCCATATAAGACATGAATATGTATTATTGTGACATATATAATGTTAAGTAAACAAATTTTAGATAAACTTTTTAACATAAAAACTAGTGTGTACCCCGGGTGATGTCCAGCGTTGCTAGTTTGTGTACTTCTTGCTGTAATTTAGCAATTATGTTCGACTATTTGTATAGTAAGTGTGTGAGTGGTTCGGGCGTTTTTCTCGGATGTCACTTTTTTATTTTTTTACATTATGTATTTTTATATTCTAATCTTGTGAAAAATAAATAAATTATATTACCTTTATTTTACTTAATAAATGAAAGGAATATATAATATTATGTGCAGCTTGAAACATGAATAATAGTTGGTTGAGATGGTGAATGTATTACTTATATGTATTGGAGGTTATGGATTCGAATCTTGTTCAAAGCATATTTTATTTTGTTAAATGAAGTGGCTAGCTTACGTGGCATATATACTTTGGAAGATGACGTGGCATTGTGACGTAGCACACATACTTTGAAGAGTGGACGCCTTGTAATATATAGTATAGATGTTGTATAAAGTTTTATTATCGATAGAATTCTAATATTTCATATATACAAAATTAATCATAAATTTTAGTACTATTTCCATCATAAAATTTCTTTTAAAAAGTTCTTTAAAATGAGATCCATTTATAATATATGTTAATAAAAATTTAAAAATCATTTTAAATAAGATTTAATCAAAAAATTAAATTTAGTTTGATAAAAAATACTTTCTGTTCATTAGAAATAATTTAAGTGCAATAAAAAAAATATCAAGCTAATAGTAATAATAACATAGATTTCAATTTACAAATAAAACTACAAAAGTACATACACTATTATATAAATAAGCAATATGATATCGTTTGTCTAAATATTTACATTATCTAAAAGGGTTATATGATTGTATTAAAGCTAAAAAGGTTAGAACAATCCTGGTATCGCCCAGGCACATAACTAGTCACTAATATATAAAACCGGTCTCCCAGTCAGGCCATAAGACTGTTACACTTGACATTCAGTTTTTCGCCAAGTGTCATGCCACTTAGGTAAAAAATAGGTATTATTGTGATACATATATTAAGTAAGCGATTTTTGTATATATATTTTCTAAGATAAAGTTGTTGTATATAAGGGTGTCCATAATTTGGATTTAAACCGAAATCCAATCCAATCCAAACCGAATCATCAATTCAGATCGAATCCGAACTTTAAATTGGATCGGATCGGATTGAGATTTTTTGAAATTTTTGATTTTCGGATTGGATCGGATTGGCCCTTATTGGATCAACCGAAACCCGAATTGTAAAATTTGGATTGTATAAATATGGATTTCTTTGTATTTTGAAGTTTAACTTAAATACTTTCTACTACATAAAATTAATTAGGGGGGATTTTGTATTAATTAATTGATGTTGAACTATTTATTTTAATCATGATTTTGAAAACTTGTATTTATATTAAACCTTAATTTTTATAATAGTATTAGGCGCTAAAAAAATAATATATTATAACTCAGATTTTCAGATCGGATCCAAATAACCAAATTTTAATTTAGATTGGATTGGGAAAGAAATTCGGATCGAATAGAATTGGAAAATTGATAGTCAAATTATATTTCGGATTGGATCGGATTTAGATTAAATCCAAACCGAAAAACAAACTGACACCCCTAGTTTATGATGGAATAATTCTAATATATATGTATATAGACACACACATAAATCTATATAAATATCCTATAACTATGTTCTATTTCCATCGTCAAATTCACTTTATAAAGTTTGGATAGATTTTTAAAGATAATAATATTGTATAGAGTTTTATTATTGATATACCGCTAATATTTCACATAGAAAAATAATTTAGTTTTTGTAAAAAATAATTTTAATTTAATAAAAAATAATTTTATTCAGTATGTTAAACATCTTGCATTATCAAAAGGGATTTATGACTGCATAAAACATCCCTACCTTATAAAAAGTGGAAGAATACACTTATAAATAGTGTTCTTCCAACTATATCCTTCAAAATGTATATTTACATATTCACCCTCGCTCTTTAATATTTCATACTTAAATTTAATCTTTTCCGATTTCTCGTTCTTAAACTAACACTCTTTTCTCTATCATCCTCTGTCTCTCTCCTCAATTAAATCGACCTATGAGTTCTCCATTAAAGCACAAACTGGGCTTTCTCTCCTCCATTGTTTCAGGTTATAAGGTTAGGTGATTTTTATAAATAAAAAAAAAAATTATATTGAATAGCAATTTCTCAATCTAGCCAGATTGTTAAATTTATGAAGGTACACTTATAAATAGTGTTCTTCCAACTATATCCTTCAAAATATATATTTACATATTCACCCTCGCACTTTAATATTTCATACTTAAATTTAATCTTTTCCAATTTCTCGTTCTTAAACTAACGCCCTTTTCTCTATCATCCTCTGTCTCTCTCCTCAATTAAAGCGACCTATGAGTTCTCCATTAAAGCACAAAATGGGCTTTCTCTCCTCCATTGCTTCAGGTTTTAAGGTTAGGTGATTTTTATTATAAAAAAAATATATATATTGAATAGCAATTTCTCAATCTAGCCAGATTGCTAAATTTAGGAAGGTACACTTATAAATAGTGTTCTTCCAACTATATCCTTCAAAATGTATATTTACATATACCCCCTCGCTCTTTAATATTTCATACTTAAATTTAATCTTTTCCAATTTCTCGTTCTTAAACTAACGCCCTTTTCTCTATCATCTTCTGTCTCTCTCCTCAATTAAAGCGACCTATGAGTTCTCCATTAAAGCACAAACTGGGCTTTTTCTCCTCCATTGCTTCAGGTTATAAGTGTAGGCATCGCTCGAAGTGCACCTACGTTAAAGCATGTGGTGAATATGCTTGGCACTCATAGGAAGTGGGATTTGACATAATATAATTAGGGACAGGGAAAGTAGGGAGCCGCCAACAAGTTTTTAAGGAACTTGTAAACCGTTCACGGATCATAAAAAGGCAACCACGATAAGGGATAACGATAGGCAACAACGATTGACCCGTGAAGGTTACACCCCATTCATAATCCATGAGATTACTAACTCCATATGGTTCAGAACCACGAAAGGAGGATCGGGGATGATGGTACGAAGTGAGTCATGGAGTCACATTCGCCCATATTGGCCTCTACTCGATTCTTATAGCGAAAAAATGATTCCTGCGATCTCAAAGGCATGCAAACAAAGATTCAATTTGCTCCAAACTATTATTAAGCTAAATTGGTTGAATATTAATGCAACACATAATTCTAAAATATTTGTGATCACTTGAATTAAATAACAAGATTAAAAAGGAACCTAAACCGGTTGTCCAAATTATCTTATTAGGCATGATTTTCAATTACATATTCCCTTTAAACATGCAATGTGGTGATTAATAAATATAATAGAATTAACATCAATATTGGAAGCAATTTAACAATAATAGCGTTAGTCAGATCAAATATAAAATTAACCTAATCATGATACTAGCAATAAAAAAATAAAATAAGAGTAATTAAATTAATTAATTACGCACATTCCGCACGTTCCTTTAAATTGCTACCTCATGAATAAAATGTTAGTAACTTCAATAAAAAAAATATAAATCTAATGGAAATTAAATTAAATAAAGGTAGAATTGATTTAGTCCAAACCCTCAGTCAATTATACCTATCACACTTTGGTTAAAGTATAGAACTTCAGGTATTATATGGACTCCTTGGAGTGCTTAAGGGAAGAATGGTGTAATTAGGAATATAGGTTTAAGGCTTAGAATAAGAGAGAGAGAGAGAGAGAGAGAGAGAAGAATTTTGGTGTAAA